ATGGTGCGGGAGGTGTCGGGAGAAAATGTCGACGACGAAACGATTATTGAAAATTTCTTGCTAAAAGAGGAAAGCTTGAAGTGAGAGAAAATAAGGTTTCTAAATGAGGACTCTTTCCAGATTTAGGGGTTATATATTCCCTAAAAAGAAATTTTTTAAAATTACACTCTAGGTCCTCAAAATTTACCTTATAGAAATAAATGTGGAAATTGAGCTTCTATCGACTCCAATGTCTCCCAAGTAGCTTCTGAGAGGCCACGGTTACTCCATTGAACTTTGACCATCGGAATATGCCTATTCCGAAGAACTCTCTCATCCTAATCTAAAATCTAAACGGGTTCCTCCCCATAAGACAAATTAGGTCTCAACTCTACCTCCTCAATCTAAATGATGTGACCTGGATCTGGACGATTCGCCTCAACATGAATACATGAAAAACATCATGAATGTGACTGAGTTGGGGAGGCAACTCAAGCTGTTAACGTTAGTAGTAATAATTAGAACTATTATAATATTACAAACAATGAGAGACATCTAGCAATATGTCATTGTTACCTAAGTTATGGGAAGTCATTATTCGACATAACATGTCTGTGATTAACTATTTTAATGTATTATATCCTTTTGTCCTTTATATCTAGAATAGACGTAAGTCTTGAAATAGTCATACTTGTGTAGCCCATCTATTATTTTTTGATATCTAGAGTATACTATAATAAGTGAATAATTTGTGATATCTCATATTAACTTATTCGAGCATAGCCATGAATTTCTAGTCTCACTCAATCAAGTGGTATGTGATATATTTCCTATTATGTAAGAAGGAAAAATCCTATCTTGATCATTCACACCCCACTACATATATCATGATATGTTTAGTATCAGTCTTTATAGTGCAACCAGTTATGGAGCATGTTTAACTGTATCAAAACATACAACAATATATGTTGAGATTGTAAGGATCTCAAGTCTAAGGATTATACATAAAGTTGTCAGTATGAGCAATATCGTGGCCATCACATAATAATCCAAGACATATGCTCATAGCAGGTCAATCCAATATATTGTTCTCTAACAATATATTCATGTTTTAAGTTTGACATCTCTATGTCAATGACAACTCATTGTCATTAATCAATAACATGTTAGTCTTAAGCATATTATTACTATCCATGCCCATAATAATACTTGACTAAGGATCTTTTAATAATAATCACATTATTATACAAACATTATTATATTTTAGTTTATTTAATGCACAAAAATAAAATAAAAGAAAACAACGATAATGCCTTTATTTGATAAATACGGTAAATAAAATATGTCAATACGATCATCATATGATTGGTCTTTGGGATACTCTAATAGCTTGAAGGTTTAAGGATGAATTTAGAGTTTAAAGAACCTTAAATATGACCAAAGGGCTTACCTTATGAAGCTTGAATAAGGAAATATGGAAAAAAATGGGAAAAAAGATGAATAGAATATACAAAAGCCTTTTCAGCTTTTTATCCACAAAAGCCATGCCTAACACTCTATAAAATCACAAAATATCATCATCTTTGTCTTCAATGATCTAATTACACTTTTGGTTCCTCATACTTTGATCTCCAACCAAAATACCCTTTTTTATAATCGTTTGGGCTTAACCATAACTTAAAATAAGTCCAAACTTGGCCAATGCATCTTAATGAACTAATGGGTTTATCTAAAACCCACTCGAGCCAGCCTAAAACTACTAACTTAGAATTCGAGGTGTTACATACCATGAACCACTTGAATCTTTTGAAAATCTTAGCCACCCCTTCTTCTTCATCCACATCTTCATTTAGGTATTGATTACTCTTATTGATGGACTTTAAGGCAATACTTACATACTCATTCTTATTGTTCTTTTCTTCTTCTTCTTATTCTTGCTTCCTTTAGATTATTATCTCATGGGTGAGTAATGAATCAATAAGTTCATCAAAAGTGAGCATGTCCAAATCTTTGGATTCTTCGATAACAGTTGAATTTCCTTCCCATAACATTGATAAGGAAGAGCGCATCTTTCTCACTATTTTTTTATTGGGATAAACTTTCAAAAAACTCTTAAGCTCATTGATGATGGAAAGTAAACCGATCTAACATCATCTTTATGTCTTCATCGGGCTTAATCTTGAAGTTCTCATAGTTGAGAGTGAGAATGTCAATCTTGGACTTCTTCACTTGACTTGTTTCTTCATGGGTCATCTTCAACTTGTACCAAATCTCTTTAGCATTAGAGTATGAAGATATTCTACTATATTCGTTTGGGCCAAGAGAACAAAAGTGGATTGCATGGTTTTTCCATTGAATTGGGCAAGCTTCTAATCTTCACTTGTCCACTTCGATCGATTACTTGAAGAGTTGGGAGAGTTGTTGGTGATTGCATCTCAAACTGAAATGTTAGTGGCTTGAAACCATCTTATTCTTCCAATAAGAGTAGTTGGAACTATTGAAGTGATAAGGCCTTGTGTTGGAGTGAGATGCCTCAAGGCAGTATGAGCAGATATCTAAGTCATCTTCTCGGTTGATTCAAAAATTGATAGAAGTCTTCAAGGATCATCTCAAGATTGTTAAACGTTCTAATGAGTCAAGCTTTGATACCAATTTTTAGGATTTCTAAGACTCTAATAATCAACCGAAAAAGTGCCAAGGGAGGATGAATTGGTCTTTTGAAAAATTTGGGTGTGGAAGTAAAAAAATAAATAATTTGACACCATGATTTAGAGTGGTTCAACTTTCTTTATGAAAGTCTACATCTATTATATTAGCTTCACACTAAGGATGCTTAAGAAGTTCTCTAATTTGTTCTTTCTTTTCCTAGTCTCAAGAGTAACATTTATAATTCCCTAACTTTTCAAAGGCTCAAGAGAGTGAATTTTGATACTTTCCTACAAGTTTCGAAAATCACAAATTCAACTTTCAAAAATTATATATTTGACCTATTTTGATGATTTGAAATATCATGGACTCCCATAATTAATATAATTAATAATTTAAACCATAAGTTGAGGATATTTAATACAATTAATGTGTTTTTATATAAATGCTTTGCGATATTCTACAACCATTGTATCAAGTTTATAATTTGATTTAAGAAATAGAAATAAAAAAAGTCAACAAGAATGTTGGGAAACTATAACTAGAATAGAATCGCAGATAACAAATTTAAAATAAGTTGTTCACATATGTTTTGTGCAGGGACGAAGGTTCTACAAGTCGGAGAAATTGCAACCGCCTTTTGCTAGTAAAGTGCTTTCCCTCTTTCTTCTTTTTAACAAAAGCACCCCCGCTCTCCCCACTGTGAATTTAGGTTCCCAGATTCGGGTATTATCCAAGTTGGAACAGGATAGCTTGTGCTCAAAGCAGTTTCAGAATTCCTTCTTATGCCAGATGGGGTACCAGTATGCGATTGCAGCTACAATTTTTTTTTTTCATTACGTTTGTTGTGGCTGTGGACATAGCAAATACTATTACAATTACTGTTATTATCATGATCATACAATAATAATTTCAGACAATGCTATTACCATTATATAACGGATATATTCTAATAACGAACCACTATTTGAATTCCTACCAACATTCCCTCCAAAACCAATAATGTTATTTAACCCTCAAAGCTACTGTCTCCGTTCATATTTCAATGGAAGATTATGTTGTTTTCAATTCTACAATCTGTAACTTCGATTTCCTTCGTACGGGCATCTGGCGACATATCAAAGTCAAAACATACAGAAACACCAATAATGTTTTTTCTTAATTTTATGTGATTATAAAAGAATATTTATTAAGAACTTTCATAACTTATTTACAATGTATACATATCTATAAATATAGATATTCGAACCTAAAAGTTATAATGAGAACAATATTCTTATATACAGTTAATTGCAAAGAAATGCCAATAACTATATCCCAACATATCCCATTTGACTACACAAACTTACAGATAACGTTAGTTCTCAAATTTCAACGCGCTATCTTGACACTGACCGAGCGAGCCATAATTGACTGTTTGGTTCACATCCATCTTGTGAAGCAAACGTAATTAGGAAGTGGACTTGGTCCAATTATCAAAACATAATTATTCATCGATTAATTGCTAATTCAATCAATGCGTTTAAGAATATAGAATTCATATAAAAGGACACATAATCACAATATTATTTAATGCCACTAATAAAATACTCAATGCAGTAAAGAAAATCAGTTAAAGATGCAATTAAAAAAAATAGGTCAAGAGTTGGGACTAACCTCACAAAGCTCGAGACTACACAATCCAGCTATATAAAAATTTAGTCTTTTAAGATAAGAACAGTAAACAAAGATCAGAAATTGATAATTTCTGGAATGTAAAACAAAAATATAAAGATATCTTTAATATGGTTGAAAAAAGCGTTATCGAAAATATTAATATATTTTTTAATATTTTTTGGTAAAGCACTATCTAAAATATTATTTTTTTCTATCATAAATATTAATATTGAACGCTACCTAAAATATTTAACATTTTCGGTAAAGCTCTATTTAAACATTATTTTTTTCTACTGTAAATGTTAATATTAGGCGCTACCTAAAATGTTTGATATTTCCGGTAAAGCGTTACTTAAAACATTATTTTTTCTATCATAAATATTAATATTAGATGATACCTAAAATTTTATTTTTTTTCCTACCGAAAATTAGGTAGCGAAATTAATATTTTCAGTAAAAAATAATGTTTTAGGTAGCATTTTACCAAAAATATTAAAAAATATATATATATTAACATTTTCGATAGAGTATTTATTGAACCGTATATTAAAATTATTGTAACACATAACTACCCAAATACAAGAGATGAGGGAGGAATTACCTTTTCTCTGTGCTTTGATTCCACACACTCGAAGATTCCTGCTGAAGATCAAATTTAAGAGAGAAAGCCCGACTAGAAGTCTAGAATAAGGGAAATTTGGTTTTTTCTTAACTATTTCTATAACAATGTTATTCATATTAGTAAAAATCAGATCAACCCTTGCATAGAAAACTGAAGGGGATTCTTCAAAAAGTTCAGTAATGTTCCATATTATATTTTGATTCTCCAATAACCCAAAATTGGGGGGAGGGGGGGAAGAAACTCAAAATTTTATTGTTTCATTTCATCTTCAATGGCTGAAGCAAAACCATTCACGATCTTAACCTCAATCTTTGAGATCCTGGGATTTATCTCAGGTGGCTGCCATTCTTCTTTCTTAACATTTTCTTCCTTCCCTTCCTCGGAACTCTCAGACAAAGAAAATATGGGTTCCCCCAACTCACCATCTTGGTTTTTATCCTCAGGATCTGTGGAATCAAACTCATATTCTTTGATATTTCCTGTTGTAAATGCGGGTGTAGATGGTGTGATTCGGCTACAAGGAGAAAGCCATTTGGCCTTGATATACTCGGCTTTTCGCCACGGAGGAATGTGCATTCCTTTCTTCTTCAGGCATTGCTTTACCGCCTCCGAAACAATGGCAATCATCTTCTGCAGACGATCAGCTTTGCCAACGAAGATGGAAGGAAGCATTTGGAGGATTGATTTGTAAGTCTTCGTTGATCGGGCAAGTTCGAATTCTGATCTGAAATCAATATCGATCAACAATCTTTCCCCCTCGATTATCACATCTATGTATTCGTATTCTCCTGCTTATCAAAACGAAAAACTGTTGAAATTTGAAAACAAAAAACAATATAGAAATCAGATAGCTGACTGATTTGAAGACCGAGGGAGATAGAAAGTACCGGCGGGAAAAGAGGGGGATTTTTCCCAGCAAGATTTGCAGATAGAAGCATCGTATCCTAGGGTCAATAATCCATCGGTAATGATTTTCCTGCAAAAATCGCCTTTGTTCTTACAGTTTTTGTTCTTCTCCATGATCTTCGCTGTATCCGCCAGTAAATTCTTTTCAATCATAGTGATAGGAGAAACCAAACTCTGTTCCATAAATTAACAAAATCACATTTAAAAAAATCACTATAATTGTAAGATAAATAGAAATTTGAAAAGAAGGCGAAAATTATTGTTGTACCTTTAGGATTTCAGATGCTTTAGCGGAAGAAGTTAGATTTGAGTCACCAAAGAAACCGTCCATTTCGTCATCGGAACTGTCACTGCAGCTACGACTACTGAAGCAGTTACAGCGGTTACGACTACACCTAACCGTAGAAGATTGTTGCTTCTCGTTGTTTTCTTCAATGAAATTCTGAACCATCTTCGCCAAGCAAACGGAGCTCGGGTCGAACTCAGCAGCGTTTTCTTTGCTAAAAGGAAGCTCATCTGTGACGGCGGCAACGACACCGATCTTCTCCGTCGAGGAATTTCTCAGAACGCTGGGGAACGGCCGCTCAAACAGCCGCTTGAACCGCGATTTCGCCGCCGGCTGCTTCACCGTCTCCCAAAGAGGCGGCGCCACCTCTTCTAGCGTGCTGGAATCGATCGGTTGAATCTTCATCGGAAAAGGCATGTTTCTCAACCTTTAAAAAAGCCGCTTCCACTTTTCAAAAGCTTGTTGATTCTTCGCTTCACGATGAGATCAGCATACGCAATTGACACAGAAATTAATATCTTGCCAAAACAAAAACTAACAAATAATGCGGTTTAATTTAATCAAGACACAAGACTCTTAACGTTGATTATAATATACTACTATTTGCATCTAATTTGCCAGACAATGCATGGAATAACTTCAGAACTCAGCTAACGAAAATCGATTTGCTTAGATTTTTTAATCCTTTTCTCAGATACGGTTAAAGTTCCCGAATCACGCAACCGGACGAGGACATAATGCAATTGTGGGAATTCACGCGAAGATCATGGGTAGCTAGCGCCTCCATCATTTCTTGCTAGAAATTACTTTTTCCGGTGAAGATAACGAGAATAAACGGAGAAGCAAAAACACGATGCAATAATAAGCTTGAAGACGGAAATGAGATGAGATGAGAGTTTTGGCAAGGCAGTGGTTCGGGAATTTATAAAGGGCGGAGGGTTTTGGGCTGCTGACGTGGATTTAATGACGAACCTTGAAATTTGACGTGGCGATTGGTTGAATCCGTTCAATTTGGGGTGCGTTGACCCGTAAACCCGGTTCGTTTCTTAGTGGTAGCTTTACACGATGCCACGTAAAGAAGCGTGGCGACACGGTGCCGGTTTGGGTATCAAATGGGTCTGTTGATTAACTTTGCCTTGATTCATAGTTTGACTCCTCAATTTAATTTATTTTTCATTTTAGTACTAATTTCCCATTCAGCTCTAATATTAAATGATCACTTAGAAAATAAAAATATCATTAATAAAAACACATCACATGATATTATATTTATATCTTTTTAAAAAGTTGTGTACTTCAAATATCGAAAACACTTTTTGTAAGAAGCATATATTTGTTGATGTGATAAAAATGGGTCAAAATTTTTAGGACTTTGGTTAAAATAAAAGAATGAAAAAAAGATAAATATATTATATAAATTTTATCTAAAAAAATAAACATGTGTAGTGCATGTATATGACACATATTTACACAAGTACGAGCATCGTTAGACTAAACAGTAGCATTCATTGTGTATTAATTTTTTCTTTAATCATTCAATGAATATGTGTTTAAATATTTATATTTAAACATTTAAAATTTATATGTATAAATAGTATGCAATAAATATGTTGAATTTGAGCCGTCAAATATAAGTTTTAAACTTCATCATACTCATATAAGTATCAAAATCAAAGGCAATATTTGATACAAATATTTCAAAAGACAATAAATGGCATAATTCATGATATAAGTCTAGTCAAGTTTAGGACATAGGTTCGATCAAGTTCAAGACTTATCTTTGACAGCTTAAAATCAATATATTTAGTCACGAGTTCATCAGATCCTACATTGTTTATATATGAGTTTTTTTTTTCAAGAGTTTAAATATAGTATTTAAAACATTCACTCATTCGGTGATTGAAGAAAATACACACACATACATATATATATTGTCATAGTTTTCTGACTTAGCTTGTATAACTATACTTTTATGAATATGTGTCTTCAACTTACATCATAAATGTTTGTTTTTTTATCAACGAGTGTTGGTACAAGTGGTTGAGACTCAAGATTTTAAATTTGTAAGGCTAAGTTTGAATCCTACCACTGTCACTCTTGATGTGTAATATGTAAATTCTTATGTAAAATTAAATTAGGTCTTAGGTACCCTGACCCTGGACTGGAGGAGTCACTCTAGCCTAAACTTTTATATACCAAAAAACAATTTATTCTTTTTAGGGGGAATGTATAATTTTTTTAATATATTTTTGTTTTGGCTTAATGTGTGATTAAACTCATATAATTGTACCATCAAGTAGGCAGAAGAAACATTTTCAAATGTATGCTTGATATGATGTGTCTTTGTCTTACATAGTATAAAATGATATTAGTCTATTAATATAAAATGTAACCCAAAAATATTATAGAATGATCTTTGTCCATTAATTTTATAAGGTAAAATTTACAAATGGATTTTAATCTATTAAAATGATCTTTTAGACACCAAACTTTTAAAAATTATATAATCATTAAACTTTGAATATTATTATAGAAATGAGCACAATGCTATTATCTATCATTAAAGAGGTAGTGTCAAGTGTGTCATGTTAAATTAATAGATAATATTTCATTTTAATGTTAATTTTAAATTAAAATATTTTTTTATATTCGTTGAATTGAAAATAAAAAGGGTACAAATACATTAAATATTATTTTTAGTGTTATACTATAAATATTGAATTTATATCATATAAATTATTTGATATATTATTAAAAGTTAAGAATTATTTTGATTGTTTTTATTTAAGTTTGGATGAACTTTTATATTAATGCGATATTATAATTTTGTATTTATTTTTAAAAAATTATGTTCAAGCTTCTTAAACAGAAGTCAAATGATTAAATCACATCATTTATTAAAAATAATTATATTATTTGATAATTTAATTTTTTAGATCTCAAAAATTATAAATTATAAATTTTACAAATACAGTCACAATTAATAATAATTAGTTAGAAATTAATTTATAAATGAAAAAATCAAAAAATTAGAATATTTAGTTTTAAAAATAAATTATTTTCATATTTTTTTTTAAAAAAAATTAATTTTTCTAATTTCTGTTTGAAATCATTACTTAAAAATATTAAAAAATATATAAAAAATAAAATTTTAGTTATAATTAAGATGTCAAATAAGATATTTTTTATTAATTTAACATGACATATTATCCCTTAACAATATTTCACTGTCGCTGCCTACTTTTTAATAAAATTTGAAATTTAAACTAAATAAGATCGAATTATATATGAATTTATTTAATTAAATTTAATGATTATTTGTGAATTTTACCATATTTTTTCATTAATGATACAAATCGATGCACATCATTAATAGTATACATCGGTGTATATCATTCACACTAGGCTAGTCTTCAAAACACATTAATTTGAAAATAATTTTTATTAAGATGATATTTTAAGTAAATAATAATAATTTTGTAATAAAATGTAATGATAGTATAATTTTCAAAAAGTGCATACAGAATTACTAAATTAGTACAGATATTATAAATTGAGATACAATTAAGGACCAAATCATGAATTTAACCTCACCTCGTGATAGGGGGTTTTTTGAAACTGATTCGTGATGGTCGCGTTGGGATGTTTGGTAAACTATCTTTTCCATGGTCTGACGACACACTGTACAAATTCTAACAACAATACAAGACGGCAATTTTGTCAATTTATTCTCTTTAAGTAAATATGGATAATTTATTACCTCTTAGTTCTTATAAATTGCGACTGATTTTTTTAAATGGTTTTAAAATTTTAAGAAACCTTATTGATTAAATTAGTATTTAATTAATAAATTTATTTTGATTAATTATTTTAATATAATTATCTATTTTCACATGCTATTTAGTTACACAACTACTCCTATTGATTATGGTTCGAACTAAAACATTTAATATGATTAATTTAAATTTAAATTGGATTTAAAATGAACGATTTAGTATAAAAGTACCTAAAAACTTATATTCAAAATAATAAAACTCGGAATAATATAATTTTTTTTAATACTTGAATTAATATAATTTTAATTAATCCAACTTGGATATAATTCGATCAAGCCTCTAATTACCTCAATAATCATGACTTGAAAATGCAATAAAAGTGTGGTGTTTTTGAGTAAAAGTATGGGAAATTAGTGGAAAGGTAAGTTAAAACCGGAGATTAAATGGGAAAAGGCGAGTTTGGTTCACAATTAATGACTGTTGTTCTTTAGGGACGTTAAAGTAAAACTGGAAGACTGTGGGGGGCCAAATAGGGAAAACGCTGGAATTTTCCTTACGTAGCACAAAACCAGTTAACATATATCGTTTAGGATTAAGATGGGCACGTGTTGGAGTACTAATTAATAGATGATTATTTATGGTTGATGTATAAATTCTAGGATTTGACAACGCAGTATAAATTCATACATACTGACTCAGAAGATTTTATTTACTAAAATGTTTAATAAATAACTTTTTAGTTTTTTAGAAAATATTATTTAGTGCCCCAATATAGACTTATATGCTATTAATACATTAAATACAAATTCAACATTATAATACTAAAGAAATTTAGTAACAATAAATATATGTATGTATATGCACTCTGAAATTATATATACATTTCATAAAAATAATATTTACAAATTATTACTAACATCAGTAGAATGACGAGACCATTGGAGATAATTATTTTGTTGAAAATTTTCTATCACATTAATTTTATATATTTGGTGTTTTCTATTGATAATATAAATTTATCTTCATAATTTTATAAGTTTGATTCTTTTTAAAATTTTAAAAATTAGTCTCTAACATAAGATTTTACTGTTTATTGATTAGTATTTTTCAATTAATTTTAGAGTAAACTACACAAATGATTATTAATGTTTGAATAAGTTTTTATTTTTCTCACTTAAGTTTTAAAAGAAATAAAATTGTCACTAAAATTATTGATTTGGTACAAATTGGCCACTCGTCGTTAATCGTCGTTATTGTAGTAATATAATACTGATATGAGACGTTAAATAAGTTGACTCAACATATTTGACCGACCTTTCTTCTTCTTCTTCTTCTTATTCTTCTTCGCGTGCCTGAAGCTTCCCTCTTTTCATTTAGTTGTACTTTTCTCTTCATCAAATTTAGCAACCCCTTAGACGTACTTTAAAAGCTAAACTAGAAATTAAAAAATTTAATCACCCTACAACCCTTCAATATGAAACAGAAAAGTCCTACACCACTCCAAAACAATTTATATCATTTTCCCCCTTTCAGATGTTTATTCTTTCTCTCTCCAACTCCTTTTGGATTCTGCTTTTGATATTAGCTTAAGTATTTCAAAGGATCATAATCCCTTTTGCCTCATTCTTTCATGGTCGATTTAACATAGGAACATGCATTGTTTCCTCGTAGGGTACTTTCTTTTTTCTCTATGGACCTTCATTTCATTGGTTCATGCAGAGACCAACGACAAAGATGGTACATCTATCATTTATGTTCTATGCTGCAATGTTAGATTTGCATGCTTATTTCTAATGATGCTTTTATGTTTTTCAGTCATCATTCATGCTCATGTTTGACCTATGCTATATACTATTGCTCATGAAATTTGAAGGAAAAAAGGTCTACAACACCACATTAACATTCGTGCATAGCATCAGTACAATGTCCAACTAGCATCTGAAGTGCCTTCATGGTATATTAGGCTAGGTCCATGTCACATAGCATCGTTACCTTGCTAAGCTAGTCTACTCCTCTAGAGTACTCATAACGTGTCTGGGTCACATAGCATCAATACAATGTCCAACTA